CGTCCCCATATGGAGTTCTTGACAGCCACGTGACAAGTAATTCGGGTCTCATTGAATTTGCAATTGACAGTCATAAGAAATGGACGCTATTGGATTTATAATCAACCAGAAAGTGAACGAAAACTATATCTAATCACTGCTTCTTTTAAAAGATATCAAACTGACCTCTTCAGATATCGAAGGATATCCGGCTACACATCATGTATAAATGAGGATTAAAAAGTAAACCCCTTTATCCCGTTTCACCCTCAGAAGCACTCATCACAGAAAGAAAGAAGATAACAACAAACACATAAACTGTAGTTATAGACTATGTCGCATAGAATCAAGTAAAACAAGAAATACACACATAAGTACCTTAGAGATATGTGATTAGGACCATAATAACTTAGGAAAAATTTCAAGATAATGAAAAATAAAAGCTGCAGAAACAGCGGTGATCAGTCCTAACGAGTTCGTTACACTATCGATAGACAATCAATGGTAGGTCACTCCGTCATGAGAATGACCGTGAGCTGTGGGGTAAGCGGGTGGATTACTGTAAGCTTGTGGATTTAAAGGATTAATATTGAAATGTTGGACATTTGCAACATAGTTGGGAATATGAGCATCCAGATGAGGGGCAGAACCATGTGAGTGTCCATGTCCATGATCATTTACGTTATGTGAGTGTCCGTGACCTCAAATAGTGCGAAAGGTGAATTCTGATAAATTTCCTGATATACGTGCTATGATTGTATATCACACATTTACTCGAACGGTTGATTATAAACGCTACAATTGCTTGTGTCCTTTGCAGTTTAGTACATGCTACGACTATACAAAGTTCATGATAAAATGGACTGTATGTCCCAATAAGCAAAAAAATAGATTTAATCTTCTTACCACCATCGCCATGATCATGTTCGTGATCATGACTGTGTCCATGGCCGTGACCATCGTCATGAGCGTTCATGTGGCTCTAAACAATTAGACGTTACCGCTAGGTCACTTTATTGCAGGAAGACCAGATAAGTAGTGAATAATCTGAACGACAACCCCACCTCGGAATGGACCGAGTTCATTCCTTCCATATTCCATGCGGCGTCTTTGACAATCTATATTTGAAAAAAGTTTAGATTATTGCAAGAATTTGGCTCAAAGGGTAATGAAAAACATTTTAAAACAATATTGCGACAGCCATACCTGCACCGTAAGCATGCTAACAACAGATGACATTTTGTCAGTAACTAAAGTCAACACATTTTGTTCGTCCGCATCTCGCCGAACTCTTACATCTACAGTGCCAACCTAGAACAATGAGGTCTACGAAATCGACAGAAAATAAATAAGCAAATAATGAAATAAACATCAGTAACCAATTCAATTAATAAAAGTAACGTCGTAGATAACTTCAAACCATACCAATTGTGCAAAATCCAATTGCCAAAAATGACGGGAGCGAATTTCAAGAACACCGTCGATAGTAGATGCCTCAGAAATGCACCTGTGACTCAAGCAAATCAGAATTGGTTTGAAGACATGCCGTTAAGAACAGGCTTTACCTATCAATTTGATTTAACAGATGAGGCGGTGCCGTTTGCAAAAGTATCATTCCTGTATAAGACGATAACGGCCACATAGTCGAGAAAACAGCAATACATAAAACTAAGCAGCATACTGGATCGGCCCAAGCGAAATCATGTCTTAAGTAATAATGCACAGACTAGCGGTTAGCTTACGTATATAATATGGGTACCTGAACTGTTCACAAAGAATGAGCAAACAGCTGGTAACTGATGCCAGTAAAACCATAGAGTTGATACGTGGAAGGAGAAGTCTGGATAAACCAGGGATAACCCAACATATAGCATGACAAATATCAGCAGCGTGTTCCTGAATTACAGAGCTTTTGAAACTAAAGGTAGGATGACAGTCAATAAGATGCTTCTGGAGGCGTAAATCAGATTTTTCAGGCGATTTCATTCTGTAAGGAAGAAAGAAGAGAGCATCCAAGTCAACAGTCACAAAATAAGCGTTGAGATGGGGTAGAGAAAAATTCCCATAGATTTTCCGATGGTGTAAGTTATTGTATCAGCAAAAAATGAGCTAAGTGGCAGAAAAACGAAGTCTGAGCGACTGATCGAACTTCAGGGAAAATGACGACTTCAAAATAATAGACTTAATGTTTAAAACAAAAGTGTGCAATGTTATAACGTAAATTATGTTGAAATGCGAACAGATTGAAAAGTAATCTTACCTGCAAACTGGAACTGCTCGATGCAGTCAAAACATGATTAAATGGCTGATTTTTCAAAGCATATGCAGATAACAAGAGAGCTATTGAAGAAGCTCCAGCACCAACGAAATACGGCCAACCACCTAAAAAGAAAAGTAACGTTGTAAAATCTTCAAATGACATTAGCTCACCAATGCTTTCCACTTCATGTTCATGTGCACTGGTGGAGGGTTCGTGGGAGCCCTGATGTTCGGGAGAGAGTAAATGCTCAAAAGATTCTTTTGATAAGAAGATCGAGAAGAGTTGCGCCAGCACCTGTAGGTCCACGATAGCTCAAAGAAAAGAGTGATACACAGAAGGAGATTACCGTGGTACTAAAAACTGCTAGAACTGGGACACGAGCCAAACCGTAGCTAAACTTCTCCATGGGTTTATGGGTAATCGTCATCGAATAGAGAGCTGATAACAAAGAACATAAGGCAAATATAGAGATCCACATGGCAGTCATGAGAACTGAAAGAAGAATTGTTAAAAATGATGTTATTAAGATAGAGGGAAAAAAATTCCAGCAATTTTCTACGAAAATGTCGAGATGAATATCTGTGGGTGTGATCCTATTATGAAAACATAAAGAAAAACAAAAAGCCTAGGAATGTCATAAGCAAAAAAAAAACAACAA